TCCACATTGACGTGTGAGTGCAGGAACTGGCCAGGTTTTATGACCACCCCGTACTCCTATAAATGAGCTTCTCATTAGTCAGAGCTCATAACTCTAAACTGTAAAACACCAGAAAAAGATCCTTTTGTATCCAGTGTTAAGGTGGACGTGTTTTTCGGGATGATTGTTAGCAAGCACAATTGAATTAGTAAACATTTCTTGTTTTTTTTTTTTTGTGCGAAATGAGGTCCTGTCAGGACCTAGAGCTGGAACCTGCAACCTCTGTCGTGTCCGGCAGCATCTCTATTTTCTGAGCCACCTGAAATGCTGGACCACCCCCAGCCTGAATCCTTAGACAACCTTGCCTTATGTCTTGTTTCTCTTGACCCTTGAACCCTTTGCTCGTCCCATGAACTTCCTATTAAAGCCATGCCTTTACACTTCCTGTTTGCCAGACTATTGTGCTCTCTCCAGCCGACATCCATACTTTTGCTACCACTCATTATGAACCCTTGGCTTGTTCCTCAACTACCCTGCTGCATGGTCCCAACCTGCCACCACTCATTACCGACCTTTGGCTTGTTCCTCGACTGCGCTGCTGCTTGGTCCCAACCTGCCACCACTTGTTACCGACCTTTGGCATGTTCCTCGACTACGCCTCTGCTTGGTCCCAACCTGCAACCACTTGGTACCGACCTTTGGCTTGTTCCTCGACTACGGTTCTGCTTGGTCCCAACCTGCCACCACTCATTACCGACCTTTGGCTTGTTTCTTGACTACCCTGCTGCTTGTTCCCAACCTGCCACCACTTGGTACCAACCTTTGGCTTGTTCCTCGACTACCCTGCTGCTTGGTCCCTACCTGCCACCAGTTGTTACCGACCTTTGACTTGGTCCCAACCTGCCACCACTTGCTACCGACCTTTGGCTTGTTTACTGGCTACGCTTCTGCTTGATCCCTACTTTCTCTATCTGTTACTGGTCCCCATCTTGCTCACCTCCTGGTGGGGCGATCCTGAGGACCCTGACCTGGTACTAACAAGCAGCAAAACCCATCCCCACCATCAGTGGTTAGTTCTTAGACCCGCACCTCAGGTGAGCCCGCATCTTTCTCCAGGGTGACCTGCTTGTATACTTGCTGGTCGGTGGGGAGCCTCTCTACTGCTATAGCTACTGGTCTCCGATCCTGACCCCCCGACCCTGACAGACCAACCTGGCAAACAGGAAGTGCAAAGGCATGGCTTTAATAGGAGGGTTCAAGAGGGTTCAAGAGTCAAGAAAAACAAGACAAGCAAGGTTGTCTAAGGAATCGGGGAGGTATCTGCACAGCATCTCAGCCTATTGAAGTAAACCAGCTGCCCGATGTGTCTCACTGGAAAAACGAGCCAAAAAACACGTTCTCCTACTGCTCACAGCGTGAATGGGGCCTGAAGGTGAAATCGGTTTGTTTACACCAGGACAACGATTGTAGCGTGTAGGGCTGACCATTCACTTGAATGCGTGCCAAGCAAAGACGCTCCAAAACAAACGCATGCGGGAATGTTCGTTTTCGCTACATGGAGGTATGAATGTGGCCTGACGGCCGAGTCTCTCCGTCCGCTCCCTCCTATGTACTTGTATAAAGATAGCCATACAATCTGATTGTACAATTTCCTTTAGATTTACCAGAACTATGGAATAGGAGGACCAGGGGCGGACTGACAACTCATGGGGCCCCCGGGCAATAGGGGATCATGGGGTCCGTGTCCTTGCCCAAACTCAAAAAAGCCTATGAAAAAGGTACCAGGGGCATCTCATGGGGCCCCCTACTGACCCCGGCCCTCGGGCAGTGACCGAGTTTCCAAATGGTCAGTCCGCCCCTGAGGAGGACCCACCTAAACAATCCAATCACTCCGTATCCAGTCAGGCAGACCCTTGTAGTGCATAGCTGATGGGAAAATCTAAAAGGAGATTGTACAATCAGATTGTATAGGAAGTTGGTGGAAGGTAGGTGGGAGGTGGGTGGGAGGTGGGGGTCCAGAAACAAGTGACGGCTTCCAGGATATGGCCTACAGGAAGTGAATGCTGAGAGATGATCTACAACAGGGGTCTACAAACTTTATACACGAAGGGCCAGTTTACGGTCCTTCAGACTTTAGGGGGACCAGACTGTATACAGTGGGAGAAGAAAATGTCCTGGTGTCAGTGAGAGTAAACAATACCCCATCATTGGTGTCAGTGAGAGTAAACAATGCCCCATCATTGGTGTCAGTGAGAGTAAACAATGCCCCATCATTGGTGTCAGTGAGAGTAAACAATGCCCCATCATTGGTGTCAGTGAGAGTAAACAATACCCCATCATTGGTGTCAGTGAGAGTAAACAATGCCCCATCATTGGTGTCAGTGAGAGTAAACAATGCCCATCATTGGTGTCAGTGAGAGTAAACAATGCCCCATCATTGGTGTCAGTGGAGAGTAAACAATGCCCCATCATTGGTGTCAGTAAGAGTAAACAATGCCCCATCATTGGTGTCAGTGGGAGGAATAGTGCCCCATCATTGGTGTCAGTGGGAGGAATAGTGCCCCATCATTGGTGTCAGTGGGAGGAATAGTGCCCCATCATTGGTATTAGTCAGTGGGAGGAATAGTGCCCATCATTGGTGTCAGTGGGAGGAATAGTGCCCCATCATTGGTGTCAGTGGGAGGAATAGTGCCCCATCATTGGTGTCAGTGGGAGGAATAGTGCCCCATCATTGGTGTCAGTGGGAGGAATAGTGCCCCATCATTGGTGTCAGTGGGAGGAATAGTGTCCCATCAGTGGGTGGGAGGATAGTGCCCCATCATTGGTGTCAGTGGGGAGGAATAGTGCCCCATCATTGGTGTCAGTGGGAGTAGTGCCCCATCATTGGTGTCAGTGGGAGGAATAGTGCCCCATCATTGGTAGTGGGAGAGGAATAGTGCCCCATCATTGGTGTCAGTGGGAGGAATAGTGTCCCATCATTGGTGTCAGTGGGAGGAATAGTGTCCCCATCATTGGTGTCAGTGGGAGGAATAGTGCCCCATCATTGGTGTCAGTGGAGGAATAGTGTCCCATCATTGGTGTCAGTGGGAGGAATAGTGCCCCCATCATTGGGTGTCAGTGGAGGAATAGTGCCCCATCATTGGTGTCAGTGGGAGGAATAGTGCCCCATCATTGGTGGTGGGATCCCCAGTGTCAGTGGAGGAATAGTGCCCCCATCATTGGTGTCAGTGGGAGGAATAGTGTCCCCATCATTGGTGTCAGTGGGAGGAATAGTGCCCCATCATTGGTGTCAGTGGGAGGAATAGTGCCCCATCATTGGTGTCAGTGAGAGGAATCATTGGTGTCAGTGGGGGGAATAGTGCCCCATCATTGGTGTCAGTGGGAGGAATAGTGTCCCCATCATTGGTGTCAGTGGGAGGAATAGGTGTCCCCATCATTGGTGTCAGTGGGAGGAATAGTGCCCCATCATTGGTGTCAGTGGGAGGAATAGGGAGGGAAATAGTGCCCCATCATTGGTGTCAGTGGGGGGTAGGAATAGTGTCCCCATCATTGGTGTCAGTGGGAGGAATAGTGTCCCCATCATTGGTGTCAGTGGGAGGAATAGTGCCCCATCATTGGTGTCAGTGGGAGGAATAGTGCCCCATCATTGGTGTCAGTGGAAGGAATGTGTCCCATCATTGGTGTCAGTGGGGGGAATAGTGCCCCATCATTGGTGTCAGTGGAAGGAATAGTGTCCCCCATCATTGGTGTCAGTGGGAGGAATAGAATTGGGTGTCAGTGCCCCATCATTGGTGTCAGTGGGAGGAATAGTGCCCCATCATTGGTGTCAGTGGAAGGAATAGTGGGAGTGGAAGGAATAGTGCCCCATCATTGGTGTCAGTGGGAGGAATAGTGCCCCATCATTGGTGTCAGTGGGAGGAATAGTGTCCCATCATTGGTGTCAGTGGAAGGAATAGTATGCACCACTATGCACCACTGTTGCCGATGGGGGTAAATAATGCCCCAAGGGCCGGATAAAAGCAAGCAAAGGGCCGCATCCGGCCCCCGGGACGCAGTTTGGAGACCACTGATCTACAGGAAGTGATGGAATCTGAAAATCAGTTCAACTCAAATTCAAAATTAAATAAACTGCCAGAAAATGAAACCTCCTTTGGAAACGGTAATTGAGAGAAAAGCACATTGGGATGTCTGGGCCAGCATCGCACTGGAAAACGCTTCTAATTTGTAGTACCCTCCTAGACAGCTAGGGGGAGCTGGATGATTATTTTTTCTTATATAAAGTAATGGGTGAGTAGCAGCCAGGGAGAAATAATCAGATTTGGGTCACACCAGTTCTCTGATACCTCCCCCTGATAGAGAGACTTGGAGGAGTCTCTAGAACTCAGTGGGTGGGGGGTGAGGAGGAACTGGTCTGCGCTCTTAAGGGACTCCCCAAGCAGGAGGCTTGGCAAGGGGTCAGGACAGCCCTTAAAAGTGAACGAGCCTGCTCAGCAGCAGGAGAGTCCTGGAGGAAGATGGAGTGAGCAGGATGGAGTGTAAAGCCTGGGAGGGGGTCCAGGAGAGGGGCCTACCTACAGGTGGAGGAACTGGAAGGGAGGATCACCATCCCCTGAGAGAGGACAGCCTGGGACGTAGGGAAGGAGCCAGCCAAGCGTAAGGCCTGAAGGCACCACCAACCCACAAGCTTGCAGGAGAGGACTGAGTAATTCCACACACCCCGGGCCGGATAAGGAAGGGCATTCAGGTGGGGGACCTACCTAGCCCCCACCTGGGACTGCTGACCGTAAGGTGGCAGATTCTGGGCCCTCTTGCCCAGAGATTCCCTCAGGCAGCTGGGTGAAGAGGAGATTTCATCTGGGGTCTGAGGAGGTACGCCGGGAGAAGCTGGATAGCTACTCAAAGAGAAAACCTTTAGGAGCATTTGTACATAATTCCAGGAAGTTGAGCTCAGTTTAAACAGTTCCTTGGGCATCCCATGTATCCCTCATCTCCATCCAAGTTCCAATCCTCTAATAAAATCCCAAAAAAACAAGTTCAAGGACTGTTTACTGTCTCTGGAGTGCAAGGCTGGAAGGAAATGCGTGTTGCCTGGCTGTGCAGGAGTATAGGGGGACCCATATTTCTAGCGACTCCTATGGGGGTAGTGCTACATATTTATTCTGAAAAGTGGAATTCTGCCTGAAAAGGTGAACTTATCCATCAAGCAGGGGTGGTGCCCCGGGCTGACCTGGAGGGAAACCATAGCAAATCCAGGTTGTGTACAAACCAGGGGCGGACTGACAACTCATGGGGCCCCCCGGGCAATAGGGGATCATGGGGCCCCTGTGTCCTTGCCCACACTCAAACCACACCCAAAAAAGCCTATGAAAGGTACCAGGGGCATCTCATAGGCCCCCCTACTGCCCAAGTGCACGAATGGTCAGTCTGCCCCTGTTCAGCACCCAAGGTGAAGACGCCTAAGTGCCCCCCCTTTCCTGTAGGTACCCCCATAGTGTAGGGTGCACTTCCTGCCTATTTAGTGCCCCCCCCCCCCATGCTCAACCACACCCAAAAAAACCTATGAAAGGTACCAGGGGCATCTCATGGGGCCCCCTTCTGACCTCGGGCCCTCGGGCAGTGCCTGATCACCGACCACCGACTGACCACCCAAATGGTCAGTCCCTGCTACAAATATTTGCAGAACTCTCCAAAATTTTCATCAATATTTTGGGGAAATTGTTGGAAGGACTATCTGCAGGACGTTCACAATGGATGTGTGGATGAGAAGGAGGGGAGGTGACTTTCTGTGCATATTTAGCCTCCCCAAAGCATTCAGCCAATCATCGTTGAGCATTCGGGTTCAGCCAAGCCATGACCGGAAGGACTCTGAAGACTTCAGTCTTGGGGAAACTGCAGTCTTCCATAGGAAGTGAGCCAATGTGGAAGGAGAAACAGGCAATAGCCTGGAACCCTGTTTCTGGGCCCTCTTACATCACGTCAAACTGATGGGGTAAATTCGGCCCTCATGACCCCCGGTCAGCGCCATGCTCCACACTACCTTGTTTTTTTGTTTCTGGACTTTCCCCATCTGCTCTGACGCAGAATTTTAAAATTTGGATGTACATTCGTAGTTTTTGGGTTCCTCCCTCCACTCGGGATACGGCTCCCTCCGGACTAAGGCCTTCTACAGCGAAGGAAATGTGTATTTGCTCCCCCCTGATGCTGAATGTTCGCCCCTCACACAGAAACGATCGGTCTAACAATGGAATGTTCGCCCCCTCACACAGAAATGATCGGTCTAACAATGGAATGTTCGCCCCTCACACAGAAACGATCGGTCTAACAATGGAATGTTCGCCCCTCACACAGAAACGATCGGTCTAACAATGGAATGTTCACCCCTCACACAGAAACGATCGGTCTAACAATGGAAAGTTCGGTGTAACACTGAGAGACAGAATACAACAACAAATTCAGCAGAAATGCGTCTAACAAATGATGACGGATCTGCATGTTCATGAGGGAAAGAAGGGATTTGATCCCCTATCATTCAGCAGGATTTCTGGCTCCCAGGTGTCTCTCATACAGGTAACAAGCTGAGATTAGAAGCAGTCTCTTAAAGGGAGTGCTTCTAATCTCATTGTGTTACCTGTATAAAAGACACCTGTCCACAGGAGCCATCAAACCATCAGATTCCAAACTCTCCACCATGGCAAAGACCAAAGAGCTGTCCAAGGAGGTCAGGGACAAGATGGTAGACCTACACAAGGCTGGACTGGGCTACCAAACTATGGCCAAGCAGCTTGGTGAGAAGGTGACAACAGTTGGTGCAATCATTCACAAATGGAAGAAACACAAAACAAGTGTCAGTCTCCCTAGGTCTGGTGCACCATGCAAGATCTCACCTCGTGGAGTGTCAATGATCATGAGAACAGTGAGGAATCATCCCAGAACTACACGTGAGGATCTTGTCAATGATCTCCAGGCAGCTGGGACCACAGTCACCAAGAAAACAATTGGTAACACACTACGCCGACAAGGACTGAAATCCTGCAGTGCCCGCAAGGTCCCTCTGCTCAAGAAAGCACATGTCCAGGCCCGTCTGAAGTCTGCCACTGAACATCTGAATGATGCAGAGGAGGACTGGTGGGAAGTGTTGTGGTCAGAGGAGACCAAAATCCAGCTCTTTGGCATCAACTCAACTCGCCGTGTTTGGAGGAGGAATGCTGCCTATGACCCCAAGAACACCATCCCAACTGTGAAACATGGTGGGGGAAACATTCTGCTTTGGGGGGGGTTTTCTGCTAAGGGGACAGGACAACTGCACCGCATCAAAGGGACGATGGACGGGGCAATGTACCCTCAAATCTTGGGTGAGAACCTTCTTCCCTCAGCCAGGGCATTGAAAATGGGTGGTGGATGGGTGTTCCAGCATGACAATGACCCAAAACACACGGCCAAGGCAACAAAGGAGCGGCTCAAGAAGAAGCACATTAAGGTCCTGGAGTGGCCTAGCCAGTCTCCACACCTTCATCCGATTGAAAATCTGTGGAGGAGCTGAAAGTTCGAGTTGCCAAACATCAGCCACCAAACCTTAATGACTTGGAGAGGATCTGCCATGAGGAGTGGGCCAAAATCCCTCCTGAGATGTGTGCAAACCTGGGGGCCAACTCCAGGAAACGTCTGACCTCTGTGATTGCCAACAAGGGATTGGCCACCAAGTACTAAGTCATGTTTTGTGAAGGGATCAAATCCTTCTTTTCCTCATGAACATGCAGATCCGTCATCATTTGTTAGACGCATTTCTGCTGAATTTGTTGTTGTATTCTGTCTCTCAGTGTTACACCGAACATTCCATTGTTAGACCGATCATTTCTGTGTGAGGGGCGAACATTCCATTGTTAGACCGATCATTTCTGTGTGAGGGGCGAACATTCCATTGTTAGACCGATCATTTCTGTGTGAGGGGCGAACATTCCATTGTTAGACCGATCATTTCTGTGTGAGGGGCGAACATTCCATTGTTAGACCGATCATTTCTGTGTGAGGGGCGAACATTCCATTGTTAGACCGATCATTTCTGTGTGAGGGGCGAACATTCCATTGTTAGACCGATCATTTCTGTGTGAGGGGTGAACATTCCATTGTTAGACCGATCATTTCTGTGTGAGGGGCGAAAATTCAGCATCAGCCGGGGAGCAAATACACATTTCCTTCACAGTACATCACGTCAAACTGATGGGGAAAATTCGGCCCTCATGACCCCCGGTCAGCGCCATGCTTCCACACTACCTTGCTTTTTGTTTCTGGACTTTCTCCATCTGCTCTAACGCAGAATTTTAAAATTTGGATGGACATTCTTAGTTTTTGGGTTCCTCCCTCCACTCGGGATACGGCTCCCTCCGGACTAAGGCCTTCTATATTGTATAAACTGGTTGGATGTAGACAACCTCGGTCTATAGGGGTCAAAACCTTGGCATGTATCCTTCACCACAGAAGGTGTAACCTACGACAACCGGCAATTACCCCGTAGTGTATACTTTTCCATAGACCGGCCAATGTCAGTGGTAACAAACTGCCCCTCCTTAGAATGGTGCCGGGTCCCTGTTGCCCCACCATTTGTTGTTTTTTTTTTTATCTGCCCTATAAAAGCTCCTTGAGAAATTGCTGGGGGGGGGGGGGGGGGATGGAGTTACGTGCACCAGACTGGGGAATTCCAAAAATATGCACCTCACCCCTTGGTGACTTCGATTCTGAAAACCTGAGTTTTTTGCTATGGTTTCTGCCTGAGGGACATTACAAGTCAAAGATATTTTACTGAATACCACATGGTGAGATGAAAAGAAACTTTGCAAAGGTTGAGTAGCAATCAGACACTTGCTGCTTGCTGGACTGTGGATGTCTGCTTCCTCTACTGGATTTTGACCCCTGGATTGCAAAGAACAGCCAAATGGCTTCCAGGAAGTTGCGTTGCCTGCTGCTCTTTCTCTGTGTCCAGCTGGGGGTTTTAGCCTTTCTGTTCCACAAGGGACAACTAAAGATGTCCAAGTTCCTTGTGATTCAACGAAGTATTGAACCCCGGCCTTGCCCCGGTGATCTCGCCAAGTGCAAAAGGTCCAATCAAGGTCCAGTTACCAAAGTCCCTGAAACTGGAAGACGTGATACAGGAGAACCCTAATGTGACCCAAGGAGGCCGCTACGAGCCCCCCGACTGTATCTCCAAAAAAAAAAAAAAAACCGCCATCATCATCCCTTACCGGAACAGAGAGGAGCACCTTAAATATCTCTTGTACAACCTACATCCGTTCCTGCAGCGCCAACATCTGAACTACGGCATCTACATCATCCACCAGGCGGGCAGTTTCACCTTTAACCGCGCTAAACTCATGAATGTTGGCTTCAAAGAAGCCATGAAGGACGAGGACTGGGACTGCTTGTTCTTCCATGACGTGGACCTCATCCCCGAAGATGACCGCAACCTGTACACCTGCGACAAGTTTCCCAAACATGCTTCTGTGGCCATGGACAAGTTTAATTACAGTCTGCCCTACAAGGACTACTTTGGGGGTGTCTCTGCCTTGACCCCTGAGCAGTATGAACAATTGAACGGATTATCAAACAATTACTGGGGCTGGGGCGGTGAAGACGACGACTTTTCGGCTCGAATTCATTTCAGAGGCATGAATATATCTCGGCCGTCGGCCCTTGTGGGAAGGTATAAAATGATCCAACATTCTCGAGACAAAGGGAACATGATAAACCCGCAGCGGTACTACCTTTTGAGGAAGGCGTGGGGGACTTGGAGACAAGACGGCCTAAATTCCCTCAAATATAAACTGCTGTCCAAGGAGCTTCTCCCACTTTACACCAACATCACGGTGGACATTGGAACAAATAGACGCGCTCCGTTATGAAGGTGGGACTGGGACTGGGCTTTCACCAATCACTTTGCCCGGTTTTTCTGGAGTCTCTCCCCTCTAACTCCATGGACTTCTACTCATTTCAAGACATTTTAGCCTTTATTCACCTGTCTACCCTTCTACGATTGGTCCAACAAGTCTTGGCTTGGACCAGTTGGTCAACCGACAAACCAGGAAGTAGAACAATTGTATGTAACTGATTGATGCTGTGAATTCTTTTCTGGTGTCATCTTAACACAAATTTTAGTAAAACAAGAAGTACCTATAGCCCCTCCCCCTCATCATTTTTGTTTTGTTTTTTCCGGAAAATTGAAAAAAAAAAATATGGAATATGTTCTTTTACAGTGATCAATAATATATCTCTGACGTGGTATTCAAACTATAAAATGCCTCAATGAAAGGTTTCCGAGACTTTATGGAGAGTTCTCTCAGCTGAAGGCAAGCAAATCCTGGAATACAATTCAAGTAACACTGTACTCAATGCAGTTCTCAGACAAGAGAAATGGAAATGGAAATTTCTGCCTATTATGGACTTTGCGGGACGAAGGCTCCAATTTAGTTTGCTTGTGGGCTCCATCTTGTACCTCCTACAGTTGGGTGATTGGGATTCGGTAGATGGTGGTTTCTGTCGTCCTCTCAGGCCTTAATGACAGGTAAGAGGGTACATCTGACAAAGTAGTTTATTTTTATAACTTTTAAAGCATCCTATCAATGTTCTCCATCATCGCAGCATCATGTTTCCCCGTAGTCTGCTCAGTAAATTGGATTTTCTTTTCCCCCTCAGAAAAATGGTGAGACCGACATCTAGAGCAGGGCTTCTCAACCGGGGTTCCACCACCCATCACAAGCAGAAGACGGGTGGATCGCATCCCCACATAGCTGACAGTCAAGCTGCAGAGCAACTTGCATGACTGTCCTGCGCTGATCCCAGCCGGCCTCCCCTCCTGTCTGCCCCAGGAGCCTGTGTGTGACATCGCTCGGGAGGGACGAGAGGGGAGGGCGGGTGGGGATCAGGGCACCACGTATGATCCAGCAGATTTCCTCAGCTATAGACCCCAGTATTGGGCCCTCCAGTACTGATTCCTTTTGGCCCCCCTGTACTGGGGTCTACTGGCCCCCATCCTATACCCTGTTGATACCTCCTGGACCCCTATACTGTTCCCTCCCCCTATCTGACCCCCCCCATACTGTTCCCTCCCCCTGGACCCCTATACTGTTCCCTCCTGGACCCTCTATACTGTTCCCTCCTGACCCCCCCCATACTGTTCCCTCCTGGACCCTCTATACTGTTCCCTCTGGCCCCCCTATACTGTTTCCTCCTGGACCCTCTATACTGTTCCCTCCTGGCCCCCCTATACTGTTCCCTCCTGGACCCTCTATACTGCTCCCTCCTGGCTCCCTTATACTGTTCCCTGCTGGCAGCCCTATACTGTTCCCTGCTGCCCCCCCCCCTCCTGTACAGTTCCCTCCTGGCCCCACTGTAAAGTTCCCCCCTGGCTCCCTCATGCTGTTCCTCCTGGCACCCCTATACTGTTCCCTCATGCCCCCCGTCTGCTGTACTGTTCTCAACTGCCCCCCCCTCTATACTGTTCCTGCTTGGCCCCCATTTTACAGTTCTATCCTTCTCCCTCCTGGCAGCCCTATGATGTTCCCTACTGCCTCCCTTCCTGTACAGTTCTCTTCTGCCCCCCCCCTATACTGTCCCCTCCTGGCCCCTCTACACTGTTCCCTCCTGCCACCCCCCCCCAACAGTTCTCTCCTTGTCCCCCTATACTGTTTCCTCCAGGCCCTCCTATACTGTTCCTCCAAGCTCCAAGACTTTCAGTTTTTTGCCAGGGGTTCTTTGAGATTTCAGACTTTTTGTAAGAGGTTCTCCGAGATCTCAGACTTTTTCCAGGTGTTCCCCGAGATCTCAGACTTTTTTCCAGGGGTGTTCCCCGAGATCTCAGACTTTTTCCAGGTGTTCCCCGAGATCTCAGTCTTTTTGCCAGGGGTTCCCCGAGATCTCAGACTTTTTGCCAGGGGTTCCTGAGATCTCAGACTTTTTGCCAGGGGTTCCCGAGATCTCAGACTTTTTGCCAGGGGTTCCTGAGATCTCAGACTTTTTGCCAGGGGTCCTGAGATCTCAGGCTTTTTGAGATCTCAGACTTTTTGCCAGGGGTTCTTGAGATCTCAGGCCAGGGGTTCCCCGAGATCTCAGAGAGGGGTTCTCTCAGACTTTTTTGCCAGGGGTTCTTGAGATCTCAGACTTAATGCCAGGGGTTCCTTGAGATCTCAGACTTATTGCCAGGGGTTCCCGAGATCTCAGACTTATTGCCAGGGGTTCCCCGAGATCTCACACTTATTGTCAGGGGTTCCCGAGATCTTAGACTTTTTGCCAGGGGTTCCTGAGATCTCAGACTTTTTTCCAGGGGTTCCTGAGATCTCCTTTTTGGCAGGGGTTCCCCGAGATCTCAGACTTTTTTCCAGGGGTTCCCCGAGATCTCAGACTTTTTGCCAGGGGTTCCCGAGATCTGACTTTTTGCCAGGGGTCTTCCTGAGATCTCATACTTTTTGCTAGGGGTTCCCGAGATCTCAGACTTTTTTTCCAAGGGGTTCCCCGAGATCTCAGACTTTTTTCCAGGGGTTCCCAAGATCTCAGACTTTTTTCCAAGGGTTCCCCGAGATCTCAGACTTCTTGCCAGGGGTTCCTCAAAGGTAAAAAGGTTGGGAAACCGATAGACTACTCCACACTGAATTTTTTTTTCCAATTTTTCCAAAAATGTAAATTTTTTTAGAAAAAAAAGGGAAAGGAAACATTTTTTTTTCCCATAGCTTCAAAATTTCTGGAAAGTTTAGATCTCTAGGTCTGGACCGAATCACTGTTCCATCTGGCCATTTAAGGTGAGGTAAGAGAGTTAAGGGGTTAGGACATGGCTGTGAAGGATGGTGGGGGGGAAGGGGGGGGGGGTGATGTGAGGAGGCAAAGGGGGACATTGTTGTGGGGGTTTTAAGGGGGGAAGAGGAGGATACCACTGTAAGGGAAATGAAGGGGTGCAGAGGTGGACGCTACAGTAGGTGGGTGATGTGAACGGGGATAGAGGACACTACTGTTGGGGGGGTGATGATGTTAAGGGGGGTTGAGGACGTTGCTATGAATGAAGGGGGGGCGGTAATGTGAAGGGGGGTTCAGAAGACTACTGTGAAGGTGGAACTGATATGTGAAGTGTGGGGCTGTGATGGAAAGGAGGGGGATTGTGATGTAAGAGGACAAATGTAGGGGGTTGAGATGTGAAGGACCTGAGTCATCACACAACCGTGCAATTTGGACCTCAGCTGTAAAAAAAAAAACATTTTTTTTAATCTGAATACAATACCCCTGGTTTACCGGATAATGGATTGATTCCCCTTCATTTTGATCTTGTGATATCTTCATCTGGTTTCTGTCTACCGTTTAGTCCAACGAGTCTTGGCCGGAGTCATGCTTGGGTCAGCTGCCGTTGGCCAATCGGTATCAGAAACGTAGCACGATTTTATTTAGCTGGTTTGCATTCGATGTTGTAAATTCTTTTCTCTTGTTTCCTCAACACAGATTTTACAAAGACAAGCCGCATGTATACCCCCTCCCATCAACATATATCTACGTGAGTGAGGTACAAAGGGTTTACCGGGAAATGGAGGACGTGTTTCCAACTGGACTAATCCTTCGATCAGCCAATTGTGATCTTGTAATATCTTCATCTGGTTTCTTTTATTTTCTTGGTGAAAAGTACCACCAAGACAACAAGTTACCAAATACTTCCCATCTGCCATGAACTAGGCCTTGCCCCAAGGTCTTCTTTAGTGCACATGAATTATGTTTGGGTCTGTACTGCGTACTACTTTTTACAATTTTGGGATGGAGAATAGAAGGATTAGAACCCCTGACCAGGTATTTTTTGCTTGGGAAACTGGAAAGGACCCACTAGGTTGTCCAACTGGTGTTGCCCTCCAAAAATGTGCAGGCAGCTTCTGCACCCCAGCAGATATCCACAGTTTTCTTGGTTTGTGGTGAGAAACGTCAACCAGAACGTGCCTCACCACTGTCCAATGGTCCAGATACAATTTTATTCCGGTAAGGGTCGAAGGGACAATAAAAGGAGTATCCAACGTGTTTCAGAGGTCCAACAATATCCCCTTCATCAGAGCTTGTAAGACCATCTGCTGATGGGATATGTGAAGAACATTTCACTGGATGAAATATTCTTTAAGGTTCATTCATTATTCAGTCCCAATACATGTCCTATTGCATGTCCTGATGAAGGATCTCGAAAAATGCATTTGAAGGGGGAATTGTTGGACTTCTGAAGCCTATCGGACACTCAGTTTATTGTCTCCTTGACCCTTACTGGAATAAAGTTGAATCTGGAGTAAACATCAAGAAGAACAAGAAGTGCCTCACCACTGTCCAATGGTCCAGATACAATTTTATTCCAGTAAGGGTTGAAGGGACAATAAAAGGAGTATCCAGAGTGTTTCAAAGGTCCAACAATATCCCCTTCATCAGAGCTTGTAAGACCATCTGCTGATGGGATCTGTGAGGAACATTTCACTGGATGAAATATTCTTTAAGGTTCATTCATTATTCAGTCCCAATACATGTCCTACTGCATGTCCTGATGAACGATCCCAAAACGCATTTGAAGGGGTATTGTTGGACCTCTGAAGCACATCGGACACTCAGTTTATTCTCCTCTTGACCCTTACTGGAATAAAGTTGAATCTGGACTAAACATCAAGAAGAACTGAAGTCCCTCACCACTGTCCAATGGTCCAGATACAATTTTATTCCAGTAAGGGTCGAAGGGACAATAAAAGGAGTATCCAACACATTTCGGGGGTCCTTCATCAGGACAAGCAGTAGGAAACAATGTATCGGGACCGAAAAATGAATGGAACGTGTATAGAATTTCATCCAGTGTAACGATCTTCACAGACCCCGTCAGCAGTTGGTTTTGCAAGCCCTGATGAAGGGGGTATTTTTGGACCTCTGAAACATGTTGGATACTCCTTTAATTGTCCCTTTGATCATTACTGGAATCTGGAATATTGAACAGTGGTGAGGGGCTTCAGTTCTTCTTCTTCTTGTTTTGCGCCACAAACCCAGAAAACTGTGGAGATCCGCTGGGGTGCAGAAGCCGCCTGCACATTATTTTGGAGGGCAACACCAATTGGCCAACCTAGTGGGTCCTTTTGAACATCGTACAGCAATTGTCACTGCGCTATACGCCTCAACAGCCAATCACTGATCAGTTGGTTGGATCATTGATAGTGATTGGTAATTGTGTGCTGTAGTGTCCCATAATGCCACAAACGGCTCAATGTCTGTGGTAGAAAACGACCTCTCCTTCAAGTAGTGCTGTGTCCCTGTTGCCCCACCATTGGTTGATTCTAATATCTTCCCTATAAAAGCAGCTCATGGTAATACATGAGGACATGGGGGGGGGGGGGGTTACATGGAATTGACTGAGAGATTCCTAAAATGTGTGCCTCACCCCTTAGATTGACTTCAGTTCTGCAAACCTGACTTGGCTGCTAAGTTTTCAGCCTGGGGGTAACAATTTGACTCTTTCTGTGTCAAAGTTACTTTGCTGCATACCACATAGGCGGACAATAATAAACTTTGCAAAGGTTGAGGAGCAAACAGAAACTTGCTGCTTGCTGGATTGTGGATATCTGCTTTTTCTTCTAGTTTTTGACAACCGGATTGAAGAGAACAGCCAAATGACTCCCAGAAAGTTGCATTGCCTGCTGCTGCTCTTTCTCTGTGTCCAGCTGGGGGTTTTAGCCTTTCTGTTCCACAAGGGACACCAAATGATGACCAAAGTCCATGTGATTCCACGAAATAATGGATCTCGGCCTTGCCCACTGATCCCGCCATATGTAAAAGGTCCAGTCAAGGTCCAGTTACCAAAGTCCCTCAGACTGGAAGATGTGATACAGAAGAACCCTAAATTGACCCAAGGAGGCCGCTACGATCTCCCCGACTGTATCTCCAGAAACAAAACCGCCATCATCATCCCTTACCGGAACAGAGAGGAGCACCTTAAATATCTCTTGTACAACTTACATCCGTTCCTGCAGCGCCAACAGCTGAACTACGGCATCTACGTCATCCACCAGGCAGGCGACTTCCTTTTTAACCGTGCTAAACTCATGAATGTTGGCTTTAAAGAAGCCATGAAGGACGAGGCCTGGGACTGCTTGTTCTTCCATGACGTGGACCTCATCCCCGAAGATGACCGCAACCTGTACACCTGCGACAAGTTTCCCAAACATGCTTCTGTTGCCATAGACAAGTTTAATTACCGTCTGCCCTACAGGGACTGCTTTGGGGGTGTCTCTGCCTTGACCCTGAGCAGTATGAACAATTGAATGGATTATCAAACAATTACGGGGGCTGGGGCGGTGAAGATGATGACTTTTCGGCTCGAATTCATTTCAGAGGCATGAATATATCTCGGCCATCGGCCCTTGTGGGAAGGTATAAAATGATCCGACATTCTCGAGACAAAGGGAACATGATAAACCTCCTCCTCCATCCTCCTTCTGAGATGGTCGTTGTGGACTTGGAGACAAGACGGCCTAAATTCCCTCAAATATAAACTGCTGTCCAAGGAGCTTCTCCCACTTTACACCAATATCATGGTGGACATTGGAACAAAGAGACACACTCCGTCATGAAGGTGAGACTGGGACTGGACTTTCACCAATCACTTTGCCCAATTTTCTGGAGTCTCTCCTCTCTAACTCCATGGACTTCTACTCATTTCAAGACATCGTAGTCTTTATAGATCTGTCTACCCTTCTACGTTTGGTCCAATGAGTCATGGCCCGAGTCATGCTTGGATCAGCTGCCATTGGTCAGTCAATATCAGAAATGTAGCACAATTTTAACTGGTTTGCATTTGATGTTGAAAATGTTCATAAAGACAAGCCACACGTATACCGCCCCCCATCAACAATTATCTATGTGGGTGAATTACGAAGGGTTTCCGACTGGGCTGACCCTCCAATTCCCCCCCCAATTTTGATCTTGTAATATCGTAATCTGGTTTCTTTTATTTTCTTGGTGAAGAGTGCCACCAAGACAACAAGTTACCAGATATGCCCCATCTACAAAGAATTAACCCTTGCCCCAAGATCTTCTTGAATTATGTTTGGGTCCATCCATACTATGCATCTATGTTTTAGAGTTTTTGGATGGGGAATAGAAGGATTTGAACCCATTAAAATCCCCGACCAGGTATTCTTTTGTTTGGGAAAGTGGAAAGAACCCTCTAGGTTGTACAGCTGCTGTTGCCCTCTGGTAGTAATGTAGTGATGTAATCTGGTTTCAAGGCAGGCCGCTTCTGCAACCCCAGCATATCTCCACAGTTTGTGGAGCAAAACATCAAGAAGAAGAACGGAAGCCCCTCACCACTGTTCAATAGTCACAGATTTTACAAAGACAAGCTGCATGTACACCCCCTCCCATCAACATATATCTACGTGAGTGAGGTACGAAGGGTTTACCGGGAAATGGAGGACGTGTTTCCGACTGGGCTAATCCTTCGATTCAGCCAATTGTGATCTTGTAATATCTTCATCTGGTTTCTTTTATTTTCTTGGTGAAAAGTACCACCAAGACAACAAGTTACCAGATATGCCCCATCTACCATGAACTAGGCCTTGCCCCAAGGTCTTCCTTAGTGCACATGAATTATGTTTGGGTCCGTACTGCATACCTACTTTTTATAATTTTCGGATGGAGAATAGAAGGATTAGAATCCCTGACCAGGTATTTTTTTGCTTGGGAAACTGGAAAGGACCCAGTAGGTTGTCCAACTGGTGTTGCCCTCCAAAAGTAATGTGTAGGCGGCTTCTGCGCCCCAACAGATCTCCACATTTTTCTTGGTTTGTGGTGAGAAATGTCAAGAAGAACTGAAGTGCCTCACCACTGTCCAATGGTCCAGATACAATTTTATTCCGGTAAGGGTCGAAGGGACAATAAAAGGAGTATCCAACGTGTTTCAGATGTCCAACAATATCCCCTTGTAAGACCATCTGCTGATGGGATCTGTGAAGAACATTACACTGGATGAAATATTCTTCAAGGTTCATTCATTATTCAGTCCCAATACATGTCCTCCTGCATAGCCTGATGAAGGATCCCGAAATGCATTTGAAGGGGGTATTGTTGGACCTCTGAAGCATATTGGATACTCAATTTATTGTCCCCTTGACCCTTACTGGAATAAAGTTGAATCTGGACTAAACATCAAGAAGAACTGAAGTGCCTCACCACTGTCCAATGGTCCAGATACAATTTTATTCCAGTAAGGGTCGAAGGGACAATAAAAGGAGTATCCAACATGTTTCAGAGGTCCAACAATATCCCCTTCATCAGAGCTTGTAAGACCATCTGCTGATGGGATCTGTGAGGAACATTTCACTGGATGAAATATTCTTCAAGGTTCATTCATTATTCAGTCCCAATACATGTCCTCCTGTATGTCCTGATGAACGATCCCCAAAACGGATCTGAAGGAGGTATTGTTGGACCTCTGAAGCACATCGGAAACTCAATTTATTGTCCCCTTGACCCGTACTGGAATGAAGTTTAATCTGGACTAAACATCAAGAAGAACTGAAGTGCCTCACCACTGTCCAATGGTCCAGATACAGTTTTATTCCAGTAAGGGTCAAAGGGACAATAAAAGGAGTGTCCAACGTGTTTCGGGGGTCCTTCATCAGGACATGCATTGGGAAACAATGTATCGAGACTGAAAAATTAATGGAACGCGAATAGAATTTCATCCAGTGTAACGATCTTCACAGATCCCGTCAGCAGTTGGTTTTGCAAGCCTTGATGAAGGGGGTATTTTTGGACCTCTGAAACACGTTGGATACTCCTTTAATTGTCCCTTTGACCATTACTGGAATAAAACTGTATCTGGACTATTGAACAGTGGTGAGGGGCTTCAGTTCTTCTTGATGTTTTGAGCCACAAACCCAGAAAACTGTGGAGATCTGCTGGGTGCAGAAGCCACCTGCACATTACTTTTGGAGGGCAACACCAGTTGGACAACCTAGTGGGTCCTTTTGAACATCGTACAGCAATTGTCACTGCGCTGTACACCTCAACAGCCAATCAAAGGAGTATCCAACGTGTTTCAGAGGTCCAACAATATCCCCTTCTTCAGAGCTTGTAAGACCATCTGCTGATGGGATATGTGAGGAACATTCACTGGATGAAATATTCTTCAAGGTTCATTCATTATTTAGTCCCAATAAATGTCCTCCTGCATATCCCGATGAAGGATCCCCAAAACACATTTGAAGGGGGTATTGTTGGACCTCTGAAGCACATCGGACACTCAATTTATTGACCCCCTTGAACCCTACTGGAATAAAGTTGAATCTGGACTAAACATCAAGAAGAACTGAAGCCCCTCACCACTGTCCAATGGTCCAGATATGATTTTATTCCAGTAAGGGTCGAAGGGACAATAAAAGGAGTATCCAACGTGTTTCAGAGGTCCAACAATATCCCCTTGTAAAACCATCTACTGAGGGGATCTGTGAAGAACATTTCACTAGATATTATATAAATATTCTTCAAGGTTCATTCGTTATTCAGTCCCATTACATGTCCTCCTGTGCACGTCCCGATGAAGGATCCCGAAACGCATTTGAAGGGGGTGTTGTTGGACCTCTGAAGCACATCGGACACTCAGTTTATTGTCCCCTTGACCCTTACTGGACTATCGAACGGTGGTGTGGCAATTCCATTCTTCTGCTCGATGTTTTGCACCCCAAACCAAGAAAACTGTGAAAATCTGTAATCTGTAATTCGTAACCTCAACTGCAATTTAAATGGTGTCAGCACATTGTCGATAAGATGAGTGACACCAGATGAAACTGCCCGGAGTATGAGACGAAGCTTGCCCATGGTACTTTGAATTTCTCACATTCTTAACTCTAACCTTTTCAAGAAAATGTTAAAAATAGCAAACCTTTGTAAAATAACTACGTATGTACAAATATTAGAAGAACCTTCTGTCTTCCTCCACTGAGATGGAACAAAAAATGTCTACAAGATTCTTGTAAATGTGCAATATGGGAATAAAGGCTAAAATGTAGCTCCAGCCAGAGTTCTGAATGGAGTATAGAAGGCATCGAATGTCTACCAGGCTTTTGTTTCTCTCTGTGACCCTGTTGGTGACACCCGTTCTAATCATGACTTTAGCTGGTGACACCCCCGTTCTCATGCCCTTAGCTGGTGATACCCGTTCTCCTCATGTCCTTAGCTGGTGATACCCGTTCTCCTGCCTTTAGCTGGTGATACCCGTTCCTCACCCTTAGCTGGTGATACCCGTTCTCCTGATGCCCTTAACTGGTGACACCCATTCTCCTCACATCCTTAGCTGGTGACACCCATTTTCCTCATGTCCTTAGCAGGTGACACCCGTTCTCCTCATGTCCTTAGCTGGTGACACCCGTTCTCCTCATGTCCTTAGCTGGTGACACCCGTTCCCCTCATGCCCTTAGCTGGTGACATCCGTTCTCCTCACGCCCTTAGCTGGTGATACCCATTCTCCTCATGTCCTTAGCTGGTGACACCCGTTCTCCTCATGTCCTTTGCTGGTGACACCCGTTCTCATGTCCTTAGCTGGTGATACCCGTTCTCCTCACGCCCTTAGCTGGTGACATCCGTTCTCCTCACGTCCTTAGCTGGTGACACCCGTTCTCCTCATGTCCTTAGCTGGTGACACCCGTTCTCCTCACGTCCTTAGCTGGTGACACCCGTTCTCCTCATGCCCTTAGCTGGTGACACCCGTTCTCCTCACGTCCTTAGATGGTGACACCCGTTCTCCTCATGCCCTTAGCTGGTGACACCCGTTCTCCTCATGCCCTTAGCTGGTGACACCCGTTCTCCTCATGCCCTTAGCTGGTGACACCCGTTTTCCTCATGTCCTTAGCTGGTGATACCCGTTTTCCTCATGTCCTTAGCTGGTGACACCCGTTTTCCTCATGTCCTTAGCTGGTGATACCCGTTTTCCTCCTGTCCTTAGCTGGTGACATCCGTTCTCCTCATGCCCTTAGCTGGTGATACCCGTTCTCCTCATGTCCTTAGCTGGTGACACCCGTTCTCCTCATGCCCTTAGCTGGTGACACCCGTTTTCCTCATGTCCTTAGCTGGTGACACCCGTTTTATTCATGTCCTTAGCTGGTGACACCCGTTTTCCTCATGTCCTTAGCTGGTGACACCCGTTTTCTTCATGCCCTTAGCTGGTGATACCCATTCTCCTCATGTCCTTAGCTGGTGACACCCGTTTTCCTCCTGTCCTTAGCTGGTGATACCCGTTCTCCTCATGCCCTTAGCTGGTGAT